TAGAAAAAACGATCACTGCGTCGACAGCGTTGTGGACCGCAGTAAAAGCTGTTGCGTCGAAAAGTTTATACAAAGAAAGCTGATGTACACAGGAACAACAGAGGCTGTGTGTCCTGTTGCAGTGTTCGTGTGCACCTCGAAGGGCTTTAAACCTACGTTTTACATCGATTAGCCTAAAACTATACTTATAGTCGAATTGTCATTTTGGATATCTTCGTCGGAAAAGAATGAACTTCGCATTGTACTATAAAAGATTGATGCAAGAAACTGCCTTCCGGTTAGAACGTGATTCCGAGTGGAAAGACACACTCTCCTTAAACCCTTTGCGATCCTCCACCATTTATTGAGCAAATTTTAAAGCATTCTACTAATCACACAACGGAAATTCTGTTTTTCTAGCGCAAAACAGTTGTATAATTTCTGTTTTGCTAACAACACTTTTTTTAAGTACTTCATTAGTATACTACTCAGGAGTTGATGGCTCAAAACAATCGTGAATCACCGAACGAAATACGTTATCGCGTCTGCACCGTTGGCATTGATAGATCCATTCGAAATCATTAAGCGACGTGATTCTACAATTATTTTGAGTGAACCTGATTCACTACTGTAACCATAATATTGAACGACACGTACACCGTAAGAACGAAATTGTTCTTTCCATGTTCAACGGACTACGGACGTCATCTTACGAGTGCAATCGAATAAAATAGTGTAAAAGGTCGTTTTCCTCATCGAATAAAATTCTTAATACAAGAGACATGTAGATTCCTACTGAATCGCGATTCGTAACGAATCCTATAAAATTCTCATAAACGTCCGCAGTCCATTGATGCGTTTAACTTAATAAAAAGCTTTGACTATGGCTAAAATACAAGACAACGTGAAACGACGAACCAAAGAGTATGCAAAGTGATCTCTAAAATCGACTATAAAACAACCGAGACGGAAAGAAATAGAAAAAAAAAGAGAAAGAAGAAACAAACATGGAATCGCAAAGGATTAAATGCAGAATAACTCAAACAATTGGACTATGAGTTGGTCATGCTCGAACCGGCGTGTCTTATCGCTACCCGTATAGTATTTCAAATGACTACGTATCTTTAAATGGCACATTGAGAAACATAACGATTCCCGAAACATACGTGGATCATGCAACGCGGTGTATGTGTGTGTTGGCGTGTGTGTCTGAGTGTATGAGTGTGTGTCTCGTCAAGTTTATAATATATATAAAACTCGGGATATCCTTCGATTTCGTGGGACAGGATTAACTATCCTGTACCGTGCTCTGTGAGTGTTCCTCGTCCGTTTCCTGGTACTTGTTAAAAGGTACCGGACGCTCAGCCCTTTGCGATCCTCTTCCCTTCTCATAGTCTCTAAAAAACGATCCGTCGTATTAAAAAAAAATGTTCAACGAAAGTTCCATACAAAACAGACCAAATGAAAATATGTTCACACATACAAATCATAGTAAGCATTGATAATCGTCTAAAAGGTGAGATCCACGGAACGCGCGAGATTCGTCTCGTTTAACGGTAACTCTTTCTTTCTCTCTCTCTCTCGTTATGGACAAAAGTGGACCGTAAAGGGTTCAGCTTGGCAACAATTATTCAATACAATAGGAATTAATATGTACAGCGTGTAATCTCACAGAGCAAACCGATCACTTGCGTGACTTTGTTTCTTTTTTTCTTTTAAATATACTCTAAAAGAATCTCATCGAAAGGTGAACCATTTATCGCCGTATTTGGTACTCTTGTTTCTCTTTCTAGAAAGAAACCGCAGCCGTTTGTAACTCTTTCATGCGCGAAAGGTGTTTGCAATAACTTTACACTGATAAGAAAATATCAGAGAACTCGTGAGCATTTCAATCAACAAATGAAATCGCCGGCATAAGTGGTAAATAAAAATTCGTTTCGAAGGATATTTAAAAAAGTGAAGGAAGCTCGTTCGAAAGATTAAATTAAAAATGAAATCTCGAGTTTCGAAATTGCTGTACCGGCGGTACTTTAGTGCCAGTTTCTATCGTCTGAAACATGAAAGAGTTTATGCTGTCGCATCGGTGCCACTACACTTTCGATCCTCTTACAATCAAGGATGGTTCCTATAAGTATTACATATAGCCTTATGTAACTCCATCCGATATAAAATAAAACGTAGCAGTAGAAAAAGCATCACGTAAAGATAAATCACAGTAATTTCCTTCCATGTTCACATCACTTCTAAGTACAATAATCTACAATTAGTGCACCGCCGATGAGGTCTTGATTACAAGAGGATCAAAATATTCGCCCTATGAGCGCTAAGGGAAGAAAATTGATTCGCGAGCGATACAGGAACAGCAGGCGAGACGGATGTCATTCAAGTGAGTATACGCTTTCATGATAGTACCGAACGATGCTCGAAATAAATATTGGAGAAAGATGGCACTTCGAACGAGAACCAATTTCTCAAAACTGTTTCAACCTGTACGAGTCTCGTCTCAACCGAGCCCCGTACAGTCCTGTGCGACTGCTGCCTTCTCCCCTTTCGAAAGTCAACAACGAAAAAGGCAGAATAATATTTACAATGTTAAGTTCTCCACAGGTTCGTCTCGCCTCGTTAACACAGACCACGGTGATCGATAACCGGAGCGTTCAAATCACTTAAGAACAGTCACAAGAAAACTGTATCTAAATAATAATAGTGTAACTTAATCGCTACGACACCGACTCGATAACAGTTAATTACTTAATAACAATTAATACAATAAGTACCGTTACAATAAACGCTCGAGATTTCCGTAGGTCAACGTGTCGAGGACGACGAGCGTCTGAGAAATTAGTTCTCGTCCGATACTTATACATATACAGCATTCGGATACTATCAGAACATGAATGAGATCGTCATGAGTAAATCGTGAAAGTATTTTCTCATCGTCGCCGATCGAGCCTAACTCCTAATATTGCACTTTCGACTCCTGTCGCCGTTACGAACACCGAGGATACAGAAATAAATTCAAGGGGGGGGTTTGGACGGGTCGAAAGCGCTTTTCAAGCCTATATTTCCTGTCTTTCATCCTGATTAACCTTGGTTTCACCTTTCGAGCGATAGTCCTCGGGACTGATATATCGTTGCAGCACATAAAACAAAAATAACATTTTCAGGAAATTGTGTGTACTGATGAATAAATTAAAGACACGTTTATCACGTATATTTTTTTCTTTTTTTGAAAGCGTATATATATATATATATATGTATATATATGTATGTATTATATTAAGATACAATCTTGCATCGTCGAGGT